TTTCCCTTCCCCACTGGACTGAGAAGGAATTTGGGTCTGTGCAGGGATGAAGAAGCCAGGGCAGGGAACAGCGGTTCCTGGACTCCAGATTTCCCCCAGCCCAGTGGCTTTTGAGGACTGTCCTCCTTTTCTCTCTCCTGTTTACACTCACATGTCCCCTCTCCACCATCCCAATGGGAATGCTCCAGTCTGCCCCACATCCAAGTCTTCCCTGCCATCACCCATGGGCTGGGACATCGCATGGGCTCCCAGCAGGCTGGGGCCATGTGGCTGGTGGTCAGAAAGCCAGCACAGGGGTCCCAGTCCCCAGGGGGACATGGTAAGAGCTGAGAGTGGCTGGGAAGTTTTTTGGGTGGGTGAGGGTTATCCTCAGTCCTTTGTCCTAAAGCAAAGGGCTCCTGGCTGCCCATCACCTCCTGGGATGGGCGACCTGGTGCCAAGGTGCACCCATGTCCAAGGGAGGTGCAACAGCTCTATCTTTCTCCTCCCTTCCTGGCTTCCCCCAAATTCTGGCTCACGATGGCAGGGGAAAACTCCACCTCCCTGTTTTTGGGGCATTAACACTCCACTTTGCAGCCTGGGGCTGGCTGGAGCCTTTCCAGGGAGGGCATTTCACTGTGTCAGGACGCGGGCACGGTTTCTGCTGGTTTTTAGGTAGCGATAGTTTAGATGTAGAGCAGGGCTGGAGGAGCTGGGGAGCACCTGCTCCATCCTCACCAGACCTTCCAAGGATGCTGGGGCCCCACAACCCCTCCAAAGGGGGATGGAGAGCAGCTCCCAGCTGCTTCCCAGCCCTGCTCCAGTAGTTTTTATGGTGAGGTGGTGGTCTCTTCTTGGGAGGGTGGGGGGAAGAACTTTTAGTTGTTGATTAGCGATGGGATCTATACAAAACTGCTTCAGGAAAACGGCTTTTGTCTGCACGGGGTAAATGCAATAGAGCGCTCCGGGCTGCACGTCAGCAGTCCCCCCATGGGCTGCTGGCCTCCCCCTGGCACCTCGGGTGTGCCGGGGAAACTGCTGCCCCCTAATTCTTGTATCTGTCTTGAAGAATCGGGTAGGACCTTTCCCTTTGCCCCCCTCCCCTCCCAGTTTAATGGTTTGGTGATTTTTCTGCTAGATGTCTAGTGTGTGTAAATACCTCTGTAAATCTTTCCATTTTCTCTCAGTATTCTCCTTGATTATTGTTTACAAAAGAAAGAGGGGAAAAAAAAATGAAAAAAAAAAAAAAATAGCCAAAGCATCTAATAGGTTATGGACCAGGGAGATGGGATCTTCTCTGTGTACTACTCTGCCTTGCAACTGTGTGGGGATATGAGCTCTGTAACCATCCCTGTCCTAGGCTAAAGCAAATAAAAAATGGCTTAGAAAATCACTCAGGTTTCCCCCGGGGCCAGCACGGTACCGGGACCCAAGAAAACAGGGATTTTTTTTTTTAAATCTGTAAAGGGAAGCCATGTCAGAGGAGATGGGATTGATTTGCATCTTCTCATGGTGTTTGCCATTGTGGTTCTTCCCGTACCTTGACAATAATTAACTAAATTGCTGCATCATCACCCACCCTGCCCGGGCTCGGCTCGCAGGCGCTGGGCTCTATGCATTGCGGGACAGCGAGGGGCAGGCGGGTGAGGCTGCGCACTCAGGGGCCTGCTCTACCACGGGCACGTTTGAATGTATACGAAAAAGCTGTCCCTCACCACAAAAAGCTGCTCCTCGGAGAGGGCGTCTCCCCTGGTGCGAAAGCCTTGAGTCACAAGATTGTCTGTGAGGAGACAGAAGAATGTAATCCATGTTTACTGCTAGCAACCAAAGCTTGTGTGTGTCAAACTAGTGAATTTTTATGAAGTGGGTGGGAGGGAGGGAGGGAAGAATCGGGGCGGCTGTGGTGCGTGTGTGGCTCAGGGGTTATCCCGAGCCGCGCTTTCCAAAGAGGTTTCCTGTGGGAGTCCCTGCAGTGAAATCCCCAGTTCCTGTTACTGCAGGTTTCCCCCCCCTTCCTTTCATTATTTTTTTTTAATTTGTTTTTTTGTACCAACTATGTAAAATGTGATTTTTTTTTTCTTTTCTGGAAAAAAATAATAAATAAAGACCATGGGCAATGGCTGCTGGTGATGTGCTGTGTGTGGTTAATGTTTTTCTTCTCCTCTGGGGTTGAGAAGCC